TGTGTGTGTCGTGTGTGTCGTGTGTGTGTCGTGTGTGTGTCGTGTGTGTGTCGTGTGTGTGTCGTGTGTCGTGTGTGTTGTGTGTGGGTCGTGTGTGTGTCGTGTGAGTCGTGTGTGTGTCGTGTGTGTGTCGTGGGTCGTGTGTGTCGTGTGTGGGTCATGTGTTTCGTGTGGGTCGTGTGTGTGTCATGTGGGTCATGTGTGTGTCATGTGTGTGTCGTGTGTGTCGTGTGTGTCGTGTGTGTCATGTGTGGGTCGTGTGGGTCGTGTGTGGGTCGTGTGTGGGTCGTGTGTGTGTCATGTGGGTCATGTGTGTGTTGTGTGTGGGTCATGTGTGTTGTGTGTGTCGTGTGTGTGTCGTGTGTGTCATGTGTGTGTGTCGTGTGTGTCATGTGGGTCATGTGTGTGGGTCATGTGTGTCGTGTGTGTGGGTCGTGTGTGTGCTGTGTGTGTGTCATGTGTGTCGTGTGGGTCGTGTGGAGCCATGCTCTGTGGGGTTCTCAGTGGCTGATGGGTGGCAGTGGGTCACCAGGCCTTTCTTCCATGGCACCTCTGAGGGGACGTGAACATCCAACATTCTGGTTGGCAGCGCAGCGTGTTGAGTGTCACCCCTCCCAGGGACTCCTTAACTGGGTGGGTCACCCTCAGCCCCTGACTGCAGCCCCAGCTGCGCTCTGAGCCACCATGTGCTCCTCTGTCATTTACCTTGAGCGGGAGTCTGGCCAAACACCAGAGAGGAGATCAAGTTGCCCCATACGCCTGACGACTGGAAGATGAGGAAGAAGATGCCAAAGTACTGGTTCACCACGTCTTTGCTGGCTCTCCCCGACTTCTTGGCCTGTGTGTTCCCCAAAATGGTGATGTAGGTGCACTGGGAAGACCAGAGTGGGGCGCCTCCCAGCCCCAGCAGTATGGAGGTGGGGATCAGGGTGTACCTGTGAACATTCAGACCTCCTCAGTAGGTCATACGGCTTCCCCATGCACTCCCCCAGACACTTGGGTGAGGAGGAAACCCTATTCCCAGCCCACTGCAGGTGCCCTATGTCTACCACCTGCCTGGCTTGGTGTGTTCACCATTACCCACTGCTGTGGAGTGGATTCTGACCCACAGCGCCCCTAGAGGACAGAGTGGAGCTGCCCTCCAAGGTTGTTAATCTTCACAGAAGCAAAGCCCAAACTGTACCCACTGCAATGGAGTCCATTCCGACCCACAGCGCCCCTAGAGGACAGAGTGGAACTGCCCACAGGGTCTCCAAGGCTGTCA